GTGTGTGGTGGCGAACTTGACGTGATTGATCACTGACTCGTCGCCGCCTCCGACGATCATGTTTACCGTGCAAGGGAAGGTGGCTTCGGCGGCCCGTGGGGTTGTTCCCGTTCGCGTGCAAAGTTGATTTTCCCTTTGTCACTGAGTAATTCCCTCAGGTATCCCTGGTTCAGCATCCTGACAACCTCTTGCCGTAGGCCTATGCAGTCTTCGGTTTTGTGCCCCCGTTCCTGATGGAACTCACATAGGACGTTTGATTTCCTTGTGGCGGGGTCTGATTTCATCCTCTGCGGCCACTGCACTTTGGTGCCCAGCTTCTCCAGTGCGTACACTATTTCTGAAGGAGACACACAAAAGTTATGGGCGGATAATAAAGGGGGCGTACCTCTTTCGTTTCGGAGTGGGGAGACATGTTGCTGTAGCGCGTCTGTATGCCTTGGTGGCGGATGGGAGGATCTGGTGTATGGCTGATGTTGATCTCTGTTGGAGCAGGGGAGTTGTTCTCATCGTCCTTCGTTCCGTCGATCTCTCCTCGTTTCTGAGTGTATCGCTGTTAGCCGTTGGGTCGGCCCATTAAGATCATCCTCGTCCGCTCGTACCTCGGCGCAATAGGCGTTGTGGATTTCCTCCCATGTGGTAGGGGGATATTTCATGAGGCGGCTCAGCAGCTTCTTGGTTTCCCTCGAACCATCCTTGCTTAGCCCGTTTTGGAAAGCGGCGACTGCCATACCTTCCGATACGTTTGGTATACTCATCCTTACCCTGTTAAACCTTGCTAGGAAGTCCCTGAGTCCCTCTCCTGTGGTTTTCCTGACGGCGAAGATGTCGTTGACCCTGGCCTCCGCTTTCTTCGCGCCTGCATGGGCTGTGACGAACTTATCCGCCATTTCCTCGAACGTTGATATTGCCTTAGCTTGTAGCTGAGAGTACCATGTCAGGGCCCCTCCTGTCAACGTCTTACCAAACTTCTTCAGCAGCACTGATGGTACCTGTTCTTTTGATAGGTTGTTGCCCTTTACCGCAGTGACATAGTGGATTAAATGATCCTCGGGATCTGTGGTTCCGTCATATACCTTCAAGTAGGGTGGCATCTTGAAGGTTTTTGGGGTGGAGTGAGGGGCAGCTTCTTCAGTGTATGGTTGTTCAACGAACCTTCCCACGTCGCGTTTTGGTAGCAACTTGGGAGCACCGGGGATCTTGTCGACCCTCTCCTGATGTTCCTTCATCTGATCGCGGAGCGCCTTGTTTTCATTTTCCGTTTCTTCCATCTTCTTTAGGATCGCTGTTAGCGTGCCAGCATTGGTCTGTGTCTTGATGGGTTCGTTATTTGCTAGTGCAACTTCCGGTTCACCCACGGCAGCAGCGGTATCTATCGTTGGTGTACACCTGCTGTTACTTTGTGGTAACCTCTCCACTAAACCACTTAGAGTTCTTGTTAGCCATCTTTCCAGTAGCTTCTTGACCGCTGAGGGTGCTTCCGTAGCCACAGATGTGGAAGCTCCTTTTTCGTGCAAGATCGTCAGATCTTCGGATGGGGAAGGTGAGATCTCTGCACCCGGTGTGATGCTAGGGGTTACATTCAGGATGCCATCGTCGCTGGCCTCGTTGAGAGGGCCAAGGAGATTGGTAGTGACACCCAATATAGCTTTCGATCTTGTGTTATTTTCGGCCATCTTCTGTTTTTGTGTGGTATAGAGAGTGGTAGTTGGTTGATCTCTAGGTGGATACTATGGTTTTGATTCTCGAAATCCCCACAGACGGCGCCAAATTGTTTGGCTCAAAAGTTAACAATATACTTTGTAAGCTAGAAAACAATCAAAAGTAAGGGAAGGGTAAATCGTAATCAAATATAGTAGACCTAGAGATGTAAAGATGATGTTATTGTTGTAGATCTAGTATTATACAGTGATATTATGAACTCAAGAGAATATGTTCGTTTGAGACAGAGATAGAGAGAGTCAGAAAATGAGAGAGTTGTATTATTCCAGAGTCCCCCTTTTACAATGTGAAGGTCTCCCTTATATAATAAGAGACCTTCCTCGAAATAATCAAAAAGTTACAAAAATAGGTAACGTTTTCCTAGTGAAGACACTGAATCCTAAACGATGTCGCTTTTGTCCCCACGTCCGAGTCGTACCCATTACGTTAGTGTGAGTCCTAAACGATGTCGCTTTTGTCCCCACGTCCGAGTCATACCCATTACGTTAGTTGGCGTACACTCACTGAGCGTACCCATTGGCGTAGAGACGCTGACGGTCAAATTTGACCCTATACAAAGTTGTCAAAATAGCACGGACTAGTTATTTTTTGGATGGGTAATTGAAAAATATAACCAACGTTTGCAAAGTTATTGAAAATAATCAAAACCGTTTTGCTGAAATACGGAAAGTTCCAGCATAATATGCAAGATTATGGAGCTCCTGCGTATAAACTTCCAGCATATTATGTTGGAACTCTCAGACACGGAAAGTTCCAGTATAATATGCGGCATTACAGAGCTCCTGCATATAAACTTCCAGCATATTATGATAGAACTTCAGCACATTATAAAATTCCAGCATATTATGCTGGAAGCTCATGATATGTAAATATTTCGAACTCTAACATATTATGCTAGAATATTTTTGAATTTTTAACAGTATTTTTATTCAGATTATATCTTTATATGAAAGCGATTAAATTTCGATTACTTTTAAAACTGTAGCTATTTTTTAATAACCGTTATAATTCTGGCTATTTTTGAATTTCACCCATATAAGTATAAGTATGTAGTAAGAACATACTTTATTCTATATCCAATCGTACACTTTTATACTCTGTATGCTCCTATGAACAATGTTATCTGGGTATAAACGGTCTCTTTAATATTTATGTTATTGACCGTGACGCTGATAATTCCAATAAGATTCGAGTAGATTTAATTAACATGCTTGTTTGAACTAGTAACGTGCACCAATATTTTTCAAAGGTTAAACTACAATGCACAACAGAAAATACATACGAAGTGTAACACTCTTTGACTACCACAACATAGCATATAACGCCAATCGAAATCTGATTAAGTCGTTAATTCTTAAATAGGGGTGGCAATTTGATCTCAAACTTATTTGACTCTTCCAGCTCGCCCAAGATTGGCTCGGTCATTAATTCGTCCGGTCCATTTTGACTTAGCCCATCTCAGTCCATTTAAAGCTGGGCTAATTTTTAGCCCAAATTGATCCATAAATAACTGTTCTAAAGTATATTTTTTTAAATATGTTATATATGACCGTAACAAAAAGATAAAAGACTTATTTGATAAAACAATTCATAAGAAAATAACATACATTCTAAGAGTTGGGGGAATAGGGCTATGATCAAAATTTTAGCTCATCTTGACTCGGTCCATCTCAACGGTGGGTCATTAACTCAACGCATTTTGACGTCAAAACAACATGGGTTAACCAATTTTCGAGACTAGTAATTGAAAGATAGCCAACATTTGCAAAGACATTAAAAAATAGCTAGTATTTTATGCAGAGATAAATCTGGACAAAAATACCCTAGTTGAAGTACAGAAAGTTCTAGCATAATATGCTGGATTATGAAGCTCGTGTATGTAAACTTCCAACATATTGTGTTGGAATCCCAACACATTATAAATTCCAGCACATTATGCTGGAATCTCATATGTAAAAAGTTCGAACTCCAACATATTATGCTGGAATTTTTTCGAATTTTTAATGGTGTTTTATTATGATTTTATTATTATATGAAAAAGTGGCTAAATTTTAATTACTTTAATATTTTAGTTAATTTTCAATTAGCATTTGTAAATCAGGTTATTTTTGATTTTTTTCTCATTGTGACCTGTCTAAAATGAGCCCAACCCACCTATTTGACACCCCTTTTCTTAAATATCATCCTAGAAATACTTTATCCATCATATAAAACCATCGCTTTCTATAAGTACACAAACAACGAATACGTGTAGGCATTTTCTGTAAAATATGGCCCACGTCTGGCTTATGAATATTTTAATTTAATAAAGAGAATTTTTCATAAAGCACCATCTTTTAGGTCTAACTAGCCATTTATAGATACCTTTTGCTATATTACGTGTTATAGATACCTTTTATGTTTTTATACAATGTATTTTATGTATTTAAGCTATTGTATTCATTAATACAATAGAAAATATAGGCGTTAAAAAGGGAATTCCAGCTAAGTTTGATATGTATTTAACTGTATTCAAGCGGCATTAACGTGAATACAGTAACGTATCTGCGCAAAATCTGAAAGGTTAAACTAGTTAAAAACGGAAGGAAATCAAATCACATGATATTCTCCTAATTTAACTCAACGAACAAAAACTAGTACCATTAATCTATATTCTGCTCGAAGATATGAACTCAAAAACATGAATACAGCAAAAAACCAGAGCAACATCTGTTCGAACTTCTTCCATTCGCTTCTCCTTTTTCTCGATTGATACAAATTATATACAAAATAAGGTATAGTTCCTTTATACATATGGCAAGTTTAACAGTGTTGTTGCGTTATTCTGGCAAGTAGAACGATGAGGGCAATTATATCGATTTTTCAATTGAGGGAACACTGATAAAGGAGTATGCCTCCTTTAATGATCTGGTTGCTTCAATTTCTAATCAACTGGGTATAGATTTGAGCTCAAAGACCATTAAAATTCAATACAAAGTAGAAGGAAATTGCACGCCAATGGAAATACACAATGATATGGGTTACAGAGTGTATGTAGAATTGAAAAAGAGAACTAAGAATTTGGGATGTATCCTTTGTGCATAACAACTATAAAAAAAGAACTTATATCCAGAGGTAGTTTAAATCAAGGCGACATTGTGCAAATAGACGAAGCAGTTCAAAGGTACGATTCCAATACAGATAATACACTAGCTCTAGATTTTGTCAATTTAGGAGAAGCGATTGGAGTGTTCGAACTCCACAAGGATTTGATAATTTCAAAAACTAATCAAAAGGAGGTTATGGCTGGAAAAGTGTATAAGGATAAGGCTACGTTGAAAGAGGTGATGGAGAATTATGCTATAGCTCAAAGGTTTCAATTCCGGGTTGATAGGTCTAATGCTGTCAGGTTTGCATGTATTTAATTTTTTTTTTGTATTTTCTATTATTGGTTCGAGCTGTAAGTTTAACGTTGTTGTATTTATGCTTATTTTTGTATTTCCTCTTGATGATCACAGATGCAGTAAACATATGTTTGGTTAGGGTCCTTAAATACATGTATTCATATGTATTTTACTGGTATAAATACATAACAGTGATGATGATGGCATTGACACAATTGTATTCAGTTGGTATGCATATACTGTGGTATTAATTGTATGCATATACCCACAATTGTATTCAGTTGTATTCATTGAATTTAAATGCATATAACTATAATTGAATTCAGTAGTATAAAAATTTATACATATAGATGTCAGGATGTATCTATGTCAGATTGTATTCGTGTGTATATGAGTGATTTTTTTGTAAACACTTATGCTAATAAAATGTACAATGATTAATTCTTTGCAGCTATGCATTATTATGTATTTCAGAAGATTGTGAATGGAAGTTTAAGGCTTCAAGCATTAACAAATCAGAACTATTCAAAGTAAGAGAATTCAATGATAACCATACATGTCCGCTGAAGGACAAGGTGTATGAGCAGCGGCAGGCTAGTAGAAGCCTTATAGGTGGTATGATTAGGCCTAAGCTTACTAACCATAAGAGAAAATACACCCCAAGGGATATTATTGATGACGGGAAATCAGATTTAGGTGTAGATGTTAGCTACATGTTGGCGTGGAGGGCTAAAGAAAAGGCAATGAATTTTTTGAGAGGTGAACCGGCTGATTCATACAAAAAATTACCAGGATACTTATATATAATGGATATGACATATCCAGGTTCCCACATCATAATGGTAAAATCTCCAAAAAATGAATTCATGTACGTGTATATATCCTTGTATGCCTTTATAAAGGGGTTTGATCATTGTAGACCCATTGTTGTTATGGATGGAAGTCACCTAAAATCTTACTACACCGGGACATTCGTTTCGGCAAGCACGTTGGATGGTGCAGGTGAGTACCTTAATTATAATACAATCTGTTAATATTTTAAAGATTACAATACATGTTTTAAAAATATGTATTGAATTGTATTTACAGGTCATATATTGCCACTAGCATATGGTGTTATTGATTCTGAGAACGATGCTGCCTGGACGTGGTTCTTTGACCAATTCAAGATAGCATACGGTAACAGGGAAAACATGTGCATCGTTTCAGATAGAAATGAGAGTATCATTAAATCTGTATCGAGAGTGTATCCAGATGTACCGCATTTTGCTTGTATATGGCATCTATGGAATAACTTATATAAGAAATTCAAAAAGAGCCATGCCAAGTTGAGCGAGATATGCTTCTCGATGGCAAAAGCATACACACAAGCTGAATTTGACAGTCTGATGGAGAAGGTGGAGAAGGTAGATATTAGGATGAAAGAATACTTAGAGTTAGCTGGATACGAAAAGTGGCTAGGTTGTATGCACCTGTTAACAGGGGATGGACAATGATGTCAAATATTGCTGAGTCAATCAGTGCCGCACTAGTTTCAGCAAGGGAATTGTCAATATACGACTTCCTCGAAGAAGTTAGGAAGATGTTTGGACGTTGGAGTTGTAGTAATCGTAAAGAAGCTACACAGACATATACGACGCTTGGAAAAAAATACCAGGATATGCTGATTTTGAATAAGGCTATGTCAACACGTATGACTGTATGTTTTATTTTAAGGTCATTGTATTATATAACTTAATTGTTTTTCTGAATTAATGGCATGAATACATCTGAATACAATCATTTTTCAAAATACAACTACCATGAATATATATGAATACAACTAAATTTAAACACATACAAGACATATTTTTTCCAGGATCTGGTATGAATACAACTAAATATAACTAAAAACATGCTGCAAAAAAAAATTCGAATACATCAGAATACAACTAACAAATCTGTATTATATATAATTTTAATATGTATTGTCAAGACGTATTCTTCCAATGTTTTTGTTAGCCTCCTGTTGCCTAAATTATTGAAGACTTTTGATAAGTTCTGCACTAATTACAGTTGATAGTCTGATGGTCTAAATATATGATGTATTCATCTGTATGCAAATATTTTAGTTGTATGTAACTGAGTAATTCAGCATTATACATATAGTAATTCAGTTGTATGTGCTCAAAACTTATATTTCTAATTTTAAATGTAGGTGGTACCATCAACTGAATACTTACATACGGTTAACGATGGAGGGAGGAATTACACAATATGCCTGTTAGAGAGAAAATGTGTTTGTGGGAGGTTCCAAGTTGATGAATTGCCATGCCCACATGCTTGGGCTGTATTGAAGAGCAAGTTTCTAATGCCAGAAGAATACTGCTCTAACTATTACAAACCAATTACTGTTGTAATGACATACGATGTTCCCGTGTACCCGCTACCGGATAGAAATGACTGGAATATACCAGCACATGTTGCAGAGGAGGTTGTACTACCACCCAAATAGAAAAGACCTCCTGGAAGGCCAAAGAAGAAGCGTGATAAACCTCTAAGTGAATTGCTGCAGCCGAAAAATCAACATTCATGTAGCATATGTGGGCAGGGAGAACATAACAAGCGAACTTGTAGAAATGCTCCACGTAATAAATAGTTAACACTCTTACATGTATTGGTGCTTCAACGATTTGTCAATACTTATGATGCAATTGTCAAGTAATAAATTATCATTGGAAAGTAATAATTTCTGAAATGACTTTCGCGAATAGATTCTGAATACATGTAGTTGCCTTAATGTGTTGGATACAATCGAATATAACCTTGTCCACATATACTTTGACAGTTTATTATAGACAGTGCCAGAGTTATATATGTAACTAGTCAGAATTCATCGGAATACATCTGTATACTCAGCTGTAATATAACAATTTCAATAAGTTGGAATTTATATTCTCTAACTAGACAATAACCTGTTTAACACATCTGAATTCATATTCTTTAACATATATTAATTGAGTTTGAAAGATACATATTACAGAATATAACCGAATACAGAGAAATATAGCTGAATACAGAGAAATACATATGAATAATACAGTTAAGTACAACTGAATATAGCTGAATACAGAAAAATATAGCTGAATAATACAGTTGAATACAACTGAATAAAATAGTTGAATACAACTGACTACAGCTGAATACAGCTAAATATGTATAACCTGTTTAATACATCTGAATTTGTATTCTTTAATACATATAAATGAATGTTGCTGAACACAGCTGAATAAAGCTTAATAATATAGTTGAATACTACTGAATACACCTGAATCCAGAAAAATACAGCTGAATTCTTTAATATAACCCACCATCAGAATACATAAAGTTTCTGTCTTGGATATTCACATGTTGAATACCTAAAACCTGTTCAAGCAAAGTTACTGATTATGAATACAAACTTGAATCGTGTAAGATACATATGAATACAAACTAAAGAATAAGCATGAATTCTTATGAACAAACCTGTCACGACCCAAACTGGAGGGCCATGACTAGCACCCGGCCATACTTACCGAGTACCAATATACATTTTATCTAACCTTCTTTATTATCTTTTAGGGCTGACGAGATCAATATAAATGGTAGACATGGGTCATGGACAACCAACAATAAAATATGATGGCATGAACATACATAACATGGGATGACTAGACAATCAAGAAACTATATATAAGGTACGAGCTACCACACTACCATGAAAGACTATACAACAAAAGCCAGCCGACAAGGCCATACAAACTATACATGAGTCGACACCTGTCTATGAGCCTCTAAAGGAACATAAGTGTTGCAACATAGCCGGAACAGGGCCCCGACATACCCATAATATCTATAACAAAAATGCATACCAAGACCAAGGCAAGTCCGAAGAAGGGATCTCGCCAATCACCGCTGAACTGGACAGCCTACTATGGTGGGGGAGCTGCGCCTGCCTGTCTATCAGGACCTGCAGCACGACATGCAGCGTCCACAAATAAAAGGACGTCAGTACGAATAAAGTACTGAGTATGTAAGGCAGGGAACCATAAGTACGAACAGTAATGTAAGCAGGGATAGAGAATAAACAACCTGTAACATCTGGGTACCTCTAAGGCTACTGACATGAAATGCGTAATACATATGTATATATACATAAACTTTTAAAACATACGCCTCTGTGGGCATCATCATCATCATCATATCATACCCGGCCGTAATAGGCTCGGTAAAAACGTACCCGGCCACGTGGAGCTCGGTAAAACCCAACTGATCAGTGGTTGCACAATAGGTGCCATACCCGGCCGACTATAGCGCGGCTCGATAGAGTAAAATAGATACATATATATAATGCATGCTCGACTCATGAACTCACGTTCTAAACCTTTCGGAGTGACGTAAGGTCGGTATCCTCTGTACACGTTATTAGGACTAACTCTTCACCATGAACCTTATAAGAATCAGGAAGTACCAATAACATTGACAACATAAGAATAAGAGAAGCAACATCAACATCAATCGTTCCATAAGAGGGGAAACAATGTAAGTACTGCTAGCTTCTAAGAGTAGAGTATCTTTGGAAGCTCGTTCATTACATTATGTACAATCGGAGTCGTGCAAAAGAAGGAAAGGGATAGCCTCACATACCTTGTACATACTGCCCCAATCTCAAGGTACGCAATTTTCACGACTCCTTAGTCTACAATAAGAGAAACGGTACTATAGTTACCCTTCAAGCGTCATAACTATTATGTATCGACCACAACCTATTTTACGATGAAACGGACAGCACCTCCCCTATATATATGACTTCACACAATTCCAAACAATCACCAAACAGCCCAAACAACATCAATAATAATCATATTGAGCATCCCAAAACAGTCCACCAACCGATAACATTACTACCAAGCCTTTCGATATATATTTCACAAGTTCTAGCTTCAATGACTTAGCCGCAACTTGGATAATCTTAAATACATATAGATTAAAAGTTTCCTTACCTTTATACAGAAAGAACAACTCCAATTTGACCTTAATTCTCCACGAAATATCCCTCCAATTCTGCCACAACAACAAGGAAGCGAAACTAGCAATCAATTAGTGTTTCTTTTTGGCACTAGAATCACTTTAGAAGGCTTGAAATCACCTAGGGTTGATATTAGGAACTTGAGGGAGTATTTACAGAACATAAACCCTTTAAAACAACCTCCCACACGAGCTGGAACAACACAAAAATGAGCAACAACAAGAAGAACAAGAGACTTACTAGCGCCACGGGATTCCCGACACTTGATTTGTGTTGTTTGCCCTTTGTTTGGGTCTTGAATCTTGAGAGAACCTTGAGAGGGTGTTCCTAGGGTTCTAAGGTCTGAAAATAGTGAAAATAAATGACTTAAAACGGGTTGGAGGCGTCCTATATAGATCCAAATGTCTTAAACCGCCTAAGTGGGTCCCATAGAGAGGTGCTTGGCGCAGTCTCGCGAAAACGCAAATATCTCTCTACTCCAATGTCGTATTGATAAAAGGTTTAATGCGTTGGAAACTAGACTCATAGATCTTCAATTTGGTGGGTAGATCACCCCGTAATTCCAAGTATATTGGGAGAAAAGCTTAATAACATTTGACCTAAAGTTTAAGTAAAACTATGAACTTAAGTTGCAACAACTCTTGTCGACTTTTGTTTCATAACTCGTTTGACTTCAAGACTATGATACGAATATTTTATGATTCATATACCTTAAAATATGACCTCTTGAGAGTATTAAGCACCCCTAGGTTTACCCAAAAATACGGCTGACAACATCCTTGATTCGTTTAACTTCTAATACTTGTTAACCACCCTTATACACCTTTGTATCATTTAAGACCAATAGGATTAATCTCTTATCATCTCAAAGATAATCTCTTCATGGATTTACATCGACGACCTTATGGAATGAACTAACGTATGTGAATATGGGTTGTAACAAAACCAGTGACACAGCGATAGATTAAGGAAATTGTCATACACGAACACTATTGATAAAGTGATAAGTTTTTCTAACTAAATACCATCTTCACAAAAAAACTACTCAAAACAGTATTCTTCTTCAAACTACATTCCAAAACTACATTAACCTAAAGCTACTCTAACACTATCTGCATATTTGAATCTCACTCCGTGATATGCCTAGCAATCTTTGAGGGTGCTTCATTTTCGCTTATGGCATCCGCGTCTATCTTCCGAATAGCATAGTCCCAGAGGAGAGCACCATATCTTTGACGGAGTAGATTGGAATCAAATGTTGTTTGTGGAATCTCACCAAGAGTGCTCAGAAACTCTGCGTATGCCGCAACATGCACCCCACAATCCCTAAAAATAATTGATTGAAACAGTTAAAAATAATTCATATAATTAGATTTGTATATAACATACAAGAAAGATGATTGAATACTTACATGCTCCCAAGTTTCTGTTGAAGCAGATCTGATATGAAAAAAACTTCAAATGGATCATTATGTGACTTGTCAGTGTATGCTGAGTAAGTAGACCAATCTATGCCTTGACTATCTCTTTAAAAGCCACTGATTGATAGATACAGAGGTAAAAGCTTAGCTAGCTTGTCAATCTCAGAATCTACATAGGCATCATGACCTGCAGATCTGTACGAGTCATATACTTTGATACATCTCTCCTTGAATGAGACAACAGCCAATGCCCAGTGTAGTTTGTCATTCAAGTTGACTGGTATCAAGACATTATCCACAGTATGCCAAGGTACATTAGCTAGCAATCTATAGCCGCTTATGTACTCATATACCACATCCTCTTCTTTGGCTACATTAGCATTACTATCTGTATCAGCATACCTGTCAAAGATTTCAGCAATTCTTGTCTTGAATATACAATCAACTGTTGTATACTTGAAATTGGGTATTGGGTTGTACTTTCCATTCTTTCTTAAGTAGTAAAAGATGACATCAATATGCTACATTTAAAATGAAATACACCACGTCAGTACATTGAATGATATTCAGAAAATATCAAATGCTGTAAACATAAGTGAACACATGCAGTTGTATGTAATCTATCAAGTGCTGAAAACAGATTAGTAGAATTGTATGTTACATACATGATGCAGAATACATGTATGTATCTGATAGAAGTGTAGATCTAACATACTGAATGTGGAAGGAGTCTTACATTGTCATTCCATACTTTGCCGTCAGATGAGAGAAGGTAAGACCAATTTTTGGAAGTGACTTGATCAACGCCAAAATCCAACGGTATATGCAGTGTTGACTTGCTCTTTTTGTAATGGTCTTCCAAATCACTTCTACAATGAATTTCAAAATACAATATGTTTATTATTTGAATTATCAATATATTGAATAGACACTTAGACTAAAAAACTTACTTTTGGTAATGTTTAGCGAGAAGACCTTCACGAACCCATTTCTCATACTCTTGAATGACAATGTAGGATGTGGTCC